TAAACCAGCAGTTTTGAAAATCTTCTATATAAACAGAGTTGTTTGAACTTTTTACATATCATCTTTTACACATCCTTTAGCAATCAATCAAGCAAACTAAAGCACTACTTTCAAGAAAGATTCGCGCTAGTTTTTGTGAAGTTCTTTGAAATTCTTTCTTGAGGCAAATTGCTTTCTTTTGAAGAAGAAACACATACGCTGCAATTGCATAAAACTGGTTTGAGCATTCTAGTTTCTTCTTTTCATTTCTTTACATTCTTTTCTCGTATTGTTTGGTGCCCGGAATTGTGGGCACTCTGGTTTCTCTAGCACTGGAATTTGGTTCTTGGTGAAAGGTTAGGTGCGTGAACTGGAATTGTGGTTCTTGTGGTAGATTGAGTGTAAGGTTGTAATCAGTAAAACATTCAATCTAGTGGAACCCAACTGGAATTTGGCTGGAGATCGGACGTAGCTCTCGGATTGGGTGAACCAAGATAAACCTTGGTGATATCTTTCTAAACCTTTCTCTTCTTTTAATTCTGCTATCGCATTTATTTTTTATTGCTTGCTGTGTGATTCAAGAACAGATCCGAAATCTTAATTTTACAAATAGATAATCTGTTAATTGCGAAAATCTTTCAAAGATCAATTCACCCCCCCTCTTGATCTCAGTCTACATTTCTAACAATCACCTCCTTCGTGGTCACAGTTTGGGTACTTGAAGAAGTCGCTTCTGAGTGGGTGCGCTTGGAGCTTTTTCTTTTGCCAGCCATGGTTTATGTTTACGACTATTGAGAATAGTCAACAATGAACGAAAACAGAGAACAAAGAATCTGCGAGTAATTAGAAAGCAAAGAATACATTAACCTCCATGGTTGCTGTATGATTCTTCTTTACAATGCAAACGAAATCAAACAAGATGAACCATCAAATTAAAATTCAAAACCGAAACCAACAACCATATTAAACCCTAAACCAAATGAACAAAACCCAATATTAAACATAGACGAACCAGAGCCGGGAGAGAACGAACGTTTCTTTTGCATGCGCCGGCGAGAGAGATGCAGAGCGAAATTATGTAAAACTATAATCGCTTAGCACAAACTATGATCGATGTTCTCCAACTATAATCGATCATTCTCAATTATAATCGGTTATCAAAAATTATGATCGATTATTATCCAGTTATATTCGATCACTTTGACATATATGAATTTAGATAGCGGTTATTTGGCCAACCTCTATCTAAACAACATTTATTATAGCGTTCCACGAGTCAACCGCTCTTTAAAAGTATGATATAAGAGAGCGGTTATAAAAAAACCGATAATATAAACATACGTTAGACAGCGATTAAAGGTAAATCGCTATCTCATATATATTTAAAAGCGGTTCTTATTAACCGCTATCTCAGGTTACTCAAGCGAAAAACACATCGCTTGAGCGAGGACACCTGGAAAAATGGGTGATTCTCGGGTTCTTTCTCGCTCAAGCGACTTTATGAACGCTTGAGCGACAAGTGATTCTAACATGTGGTGAACCAAGTTATATTATTTGGCTAACTGCGTTTGACGTTTCATCATTCGGTCAAACAAGGGGGACTCTCGGGTTCTGTCTCGCTCAAGCATGGGTACTTTCGCTTGAGTGATAAGTGATTGAAATTTGTGGTGACCCAAGTTGCATTATGTGGCTAACTGCGTTGGACGTTTAGCTTGGTCAATTTGATTATTTTAAAATTATGATCGATTATAAATTTCTTCGCTCAAGCGATGAATGTCTCGCTTGAGCAAGAATTGACCACGGTCCAACTATATATGGGTCACTATTTAAAATAGCGGTTCCACGTTAACCGCTATTTAAAATATATTTTTAATAGTGGTTAGTGAAAGTGATGAAGATCTTATTGAAATAATTTGGCAAAGATCTCATTGATTTGATGAAGTCAAAGATAAAGTCAAAAGTCAACTTTGCAGTGGTCAACAAGTCACTTAGATAAAAGAGTAGAAGGATTAGTGTGTCTACATAATGCTTAGGTAAAATCATTTTATCTTTTCTGCTGCATAAAGGTTCTTCACTTAAAGATTTTGCGAAATGCCTCTAAAATCGTTTTAAACAACTAAAAACAAAGTATTTTTACAAAAGCTTTCTTAAACATGTTTTTAACTGATATAGTTTTGAAAGAACCGATTAAAATCACTTAGAATGTTCAAAGAAGTGTTTTTACAGTATTTTAATTGATACAACTTGATTTTAATCGATTAAAACTATTTAGAACTCATTATGATCGATCATAATACAAATATGACCGATCAGAATCAAATGTGATCGATCAGATTTGAATTATGAGCGATCAGAATTTTTTCAATCGATTAAAACACGTTTCAATCGATTAAAATCACTTAAAGGGTGAGGATGATCGATCAGAATGCAATTATGACCGATCAGAATCGATCATGATCGATCGAATTGAGTTATGACCGATCAGAATAATTTTAATCGATTAAAACACGTTTCAACCGATTAAAACAACTTGGAAAAATTATGTACAGAGTTTTAATCGATTAAAACCTATGTTTTATCGCTTAAAATAACTTGAAAAGCTTTATAAGAAAGTTTTGCAAGTATTTCAATCGATTGAATCGCGAAACAATCGATTAAATAAACTTAGAAGATTTTCTCAGAAGTGTGTTAACTGATATAAACGTTGTTGTATCAGCTTAAAACAAATCTGTTAAAGAATCAAAAACGTATTAATGGATTAAAAGGACTTTTAACAGATTGAAACGACTCTTTTAACAGATTAAACGGATATTTTAACAGATTAATTAATGCAGCAGTTTTGAAAATATTCTATAAAATCATAGTTGCTTGGAACTTTTTAGATATAAGTTTTCACACATCCTTAAGCAATCAATCAAGCAACTTTAACACTCTTTTCAAGAAAGATTCGCGGCATTTTTTGAGAAGTTCTTTAAAAATCTTTCTTGAGGCATATTGCTTTTCTTTAAAGAAGAAACTCGCTGCAGAATAGCATAAACTGGTTTGAGCTTTCTAGTTTCTTCTTTTTCATTCTTTTGTACTGTGTGGTGCCTGGAATTTGGGTACTAGTTTCTCTGCAGCTGGAAGTTGGTTGTAGAGGTTATCAAGAACTGGAATTTGGTTCTTGGTGAGAGGTTGAGTGCAGGAACTGGAATTTGGTTCTTGTGATAGATTAGGTGTAAGATTGTTGAATCTGTAAAACATTTAATCTAGTGGAACCCAGCTGGAATTTGGCTGGAGACTCGGACGTAGCCCTCGGTATTGGGTGAACCAAGTATAAAATACCTGGTGATATCTTTCTTAACCTTTCTCTCCTTTAAATTCGTTGTCTGCATTATTTTGATTGATTGCTTTGAGATTCAAGAACAGATCTCGTAAACTTAATTTTCGAATTAGATAATCTGTTATTTGCGAAAAACTTTCAAAGATCAATTCACCCCCTCTTGATCTAAAACTACTTTTCTAACAGCTTAGTTCTAGAACCGCTATGTAAAGTCTAGGGTCAATTCTCGCTCAAGCGAGGGGTTTCTTCGCTTGAGCGAGAGTTCATTGCGCGAAATAATAATATTTTAATACGTGAACGAAGCAAACGTGCTAGTTGTGTAAATAAAGTTCCAGATGTGCTATTTTGGAAAATATTTTTAAAAAGAGTATTATTTATGAAAAAAAGTCGTGTGTGTGGGGGGTGTTTTTACTTTTTTATTTCATTGCTAAGCATTACTCTGCAATGCAAATGATGAACAAACTCTAAAATCAAATTACAAAATGAATACAAAAGATTACAAAATAATGAAATTATTTATTAAAAAAAAACTCAATGTATTCAATTTAAGATTAAGAGTTTATAACTAATCAAAAGCACAATATATAACACTTTCACAACTAAATTTTGATATAATATATTAGAGTTGTCAAAATAAATAATCTAACCTAATTTAGTATGATTTTTATTGATTAACTAAAAAATATTAATCACTTGATTTCATTTATATTTTAAAACAAATTAAAACTTTTTCGATTGAAAATTAAAAAAAATCATTAAAATGTATATACCAAAACAATAAATTAAAAAAATATTTCAATAAAAATAAATTTAATTTATTATAACTTATTAAAACAGGAGATTAAGAAAGTAGGATGAAATCGGCAATGATTAAATTAATTTTGTTGTTAACCTTCATCTGGCAGGTTTATTTAATAATTTCTATCCAACGAGTACTATAATTTTATTTATAGATCTCTTCTCACTTTTGTATCTTTGGTATATATATTTTTTCCTCTTCCATCAAACTGTAAAAAGTATAAGACGTGTAAAAAGTAAAGTAAATTGATTGAGTTTGAAAAGAAAAATCCAAATACCATAAAAAGTATAAATAGTTAGTGCATTCATTATTTTTTATTTTTAATTTATTAATTTAGATAAATTTTCTTATCAGATTATAATTCTGAATTGAAAATATCAATTTTAACAAAGGCAAATAAACATCAAGACTAACGATACACTTATATCAAAAAAGAAACGTCTGCAATTATACTACACTTATATTATGTGTTGTTATGCTATAAACATTAAAAGCTACAATAATCATCTATATCAACATAGTCTATATCAACATCTATAATCATCTACAATAATCATCTATATCAACATTAAAAGCCATTGGCTTTTAATTAACTACAAATCCCCTTTATTCTCTTAGGGAGGAGACCTCAATTTGGAACCAAATTCATGTCCAAAATAATTATTAAGAAGTTGGTCAGACCACACTATGGTTAATTAGTAGAAACAGTTACAAAAATAGATTGAAATGTCAGAACTGAATGTGCTTTCTACTTCTCCATTTAGCTCTCCATTTTTTTTTTCTCATTTCTGACTCCTCAAAAATCTTTTTTGTGAATTCAATAGAACAATGTCTGCCACTTTACTACATCAAGACCAATCAAAAAACAGATACAAGGCAACACAAACGGCTGTCTTTCATTTATATCAATCTAGATATCATCTCCTTTGTCTTAATATTTACAGTTCCACGAACTTCACTGCAAGACCACTGCTCCTCTGCTCTTTCTTCACAAATCTGCCATAACCATGTCAAATGTTGAATCTAGTTTTAAAACCAGAAACACTGGTAATCACGTGAATGCACCCGTATAACTACAACAATTCCACAAAAAATACAACCTTCCGGGATCTAAATCTAATGCATTTTATAATTCTAATGGCTAAACAAAAAGGTAGCCACGATTATGGAAGTAGTTGACATTACATCTGAATGTACTGAAAGTTAAATAAATAAAGATAAATTCATACCATTGTTGATTTTTCCTGAATTCAGTAAGCACAGGATGTATGTTCTCGAAGGCAGTGTATGTCTCATCTCTCACCTAAAAATGGAAATAAAAACATAAAATCCAGTACAACAGAAAATGGGGAGGAAATTGCAGGGGCAAACTAAAAGGAAAAAAAATACCTTCGCTCTTGTTAGAACAATTTTTCCGGAGACAAATATAATAAGCAAGACTATTTTAGGTTGCTTCATACGGTAGATTAGACCTGGAAAGAGCTCTGGTTCATACTGCGGCAACAAAAATGTAAAGTATCAGCAAATATCCATCATTTTCCTATACTTCTAGACTTTAGATGAAGCACATGCATAAAAATACAGAAGATGCCCCTTTCCACACAATTCATACTTAAGTTACTTTATCCCACGAGCATAGTGATTTATAATAACATTAGTCAAGTTTAACCATTTCACTCTATTAAAATTTTTAGAACTCTTCAAGTACCTATAATGTAAGGCAATGTACTAAAACAGATTTGCAGCATAGTGCTTTTAACAAAATAGTTTTTCCATAGGTTATTTTCAAATCAAGATTATAATTCGAAAAAATTCCTTGAAATTATTTCAGAGACCACTATGAAGCACTTGGTGGATTTGATGAAGACATAATATTTTGTAGATATAGTTTAGTTTGTGGGTGTGTAGATAAATAGGCTAAGTATAGAACTTAATCTCTTGATAGGCCAATATATTTTGTGATAAGCACCTTAATATGATGCATCTCATTGAAATCATTTTTCTGCATGAAAAACTTACATTTAAGTATTAAAAGAACAATCTAAGTTTTTCAATCTGTTGAAAATGATTTTCAATCTATTAAAATCACTTAACAGAATAAGTGGTCATACATAGTCGAAATTTCAATTGATTGAATCGCGAGAATCAACGAGTTAAAATCACTTAATGAATTTTTCAATATCAAGGTCTCGCATTTTCAATCTGTTGAAATATTTTTAAATCCATTGAAACAGAAAGACTATTTTTCGATCTAAGAGTTTTCGGAAAATCAATCTGTTGAAATATTTTTTAATCTGTTGAAACGGAGAGACTATTTTTCTAACTAAGTGTTTGCAGGATTTCAATCTGTTGAAATGATTTTCAATCGATTGAAACAGAGAGCTATCATTTTTCATAAAGCTGTTTCAATCCATTAAAAACTCGAATCAATCGATTGAATGAAGTTTTAAATGAAATCAATCGATTGAATCGACGTTTTAATCGATTGAAATGCATTCTGATCGATCATAGTTTCATTCTGATCGATCATAACTTGGTCTAATCGATCATAATACAGCTTCTAATCGATCAGAATCGATTCTAACTCTGTTTTACTTTGTTTCGATCGATCATTTACCTCTCTGATTCAGTTTTTAATTAATGAAACGTTTTGGTTCTCTGTTTTACTTTATAAATACATATTTGATCTATCTTTTGAAATATACAACTTGAGAAAACATTTTGAAATCAATCTGTGAGGCTATCATATCCGTGACTTTCTCTGCATTCAAGAACTTTGTTATATCATAAGGTGCTTTGATCAAGATAGTGGTCAATCAAAGAGAGAAAGTGTTGTGTTAGAATCTGTTCTGGACAATTTTATTGATAGAGCTACAGTCCAGGTTTTTTCTTTTCATAATCTTTTGTAAAGTGTGGTTGTGCAGGTTAGAATTGGGATCTGCACTTGTTACAGTAACTGGATTTGGTTACTGGGTGGTTTTCAAGAGTCTATCTTGTGGGTTTGTAAGATAGTTCTTGGGGTAGATTGGTGAGTATCTACTCGGTTGTAATTTTCACTTGGTATTAGTGGAACTTGGCAGATTTGTCAAGAACTGGACGTAGCTTCGGTATAGAGTGAACCAAGTATAAATTTGTGTGTTGAATTTCTTCTTTCATCTCTTTTATTTTCTCGCCTATATACTTGCTGTGTTTAAAATCAATCTACCTTAGCAAGAATTGAATAAAGATAAATCATTCTTCCAAAAGAAAGTAAATTTTGTGAAAAAGTTTTATAAAGTTCAATTCACCCCCCCTCTTGAACTCAACCATTAATTCTTTCAATTGGTACCAGAGCTGGTTCTTGTAAGTTACTCAAGAAATCGGTCCAAGAATGGCTGAGGGAAAGATGAATTTTTCGAAGGAGCCTCCATAAACAGGCCTCCTCTTTTTCTCGGTGTGAATTATTCTTTCCGGAAGGTTAGAATGAAAATATTTATTGAATCTCTTGATAGAGGCATTTGGGAAACAATTGTTAATGGTCCTTACAAACCAACTCATACAGTAGATGGTAAAGTAGTTGAAAAAAATTGGGCTGAATTAACTGATGTAGAAAATAGGAGAGTCCAATATGATTATACTGCAAAAAACATAAAATCCAGTACAACAGAAAATGGGGAGGAAATTGCAGGGGCAAACTAAAAGGAAAAAAAATACCTTCGCTCCTGTAAAGGAGAAAACCAAAAAACCGGAAAATAATGTAAATTTTTCAGAATGAACTTCACAATCCTAACCAAAGAAAACAACTTGAAGATCAATATTAAACATTGTAAAGAGTTAAAACCATCTGGCCTCCTTAAATTATTTAAGAGCTCAGTCTACTGAAAAAACAGGAAGAATAGTTTTAAAAGCAAGCTACCACAAATTGGTTTATTTTGCCAGGGCTTCGATTTAGGAAAATAACATCAATACCCAAAGCATGATAGAGAAATAAAATAACAAAAAACAAAGAACAGTAGCTTACCTTCCTGGCTGCCAATTTAGACTGTCGTTCACTCTTCGCTCCAAGTACAAACCTAGTCAATGGTCATAAAAAATTTAATTTGAAGTACATAAAAAGAGAATCCCTTTACAAGAAGGCTACCAAATTATTCAGGTTTTGTAATATAAAAAGTTTTGCCATGACGAAAGCGAGAAAAACAAATTTCAACTTTTACAACCATGGTTGGCAATCTGGGAATCACAAACCCCTACAATTGGATTTAAGAATTTAAATGTATTGTAAATTGCAAGACTAATAACGCTCAATTATTAAAATAAGGGAAACATATTTTTCCACTAAATAAAACTGTAAAAATACGTTTAGAAAAAGATTGCATTCCTTATGTCCATTTTGCATAAATTAATAATTGAGCCATTGAGGTTACTCCATGATCGCATTCTCGCTCGTCAAGCTATACAGAGCCAATTGATTCATGCAATTCGATCGATAAGTGGTAACTATGTTTGCAAACTCATTACTAGGACCTTCAATCATATACACTTAAGGCAAACACAAGCATGAATTTTATAGAGTTTCCAACCAACACCAGTTTGTTCGTTGATTTGATGAACATAGTTAATTAACAATAGAATTCAACAAGAGAATCACACAACTACAAATTAACATGGATCTAATTACAGGACAGCTAAGTATAGCAAAATGCACAACTCTCATCTAGAAGATAGGCATGGCAGTGCAGAAATGAAGTATACCATCTTGCCCGAAGCAAAAATAAGTGCAGTTGTTTCGGGATCTCTTATCCTCATAATAACAGCAGCAAAACGCTGCAGGCAAACAAATCACAAATATCAGTACAGTAAACCACTAACCACTAGAACTAGCATAAATATTACATCTGCTAACTAATAATTCTGCAGAACACAAGTATTGTAACATATTGTAACATACATAGATACCACATGGGATATTAACATAAAATAATAATTTTAGATTGACCATACTTCTCTGGTCCAGATAAGAACAAACAAATTTAGACAGCAGTATACAAGTAAATTTTTATTGTAATTCAGATGAAAAGGCAGAAATATAAACATGTATACATGCACAATTGTGCAGATAGCATAGAGTGAAACTCACTACAAGTAAACGAAACTTGCCTTGGGATTGTACTCTGCATTACGAGCTTGTAGTGCAATTGTTTTGAGGTCCAACTTACAGTCCAATTTTACTGTGGACACAATATTTCTGGCAGTACAAACAGCTTGATTTTTAGATTACACTATGTAAATAGAGGAAATATTATGAAGTGCACAAATGTAAATAGAAAAAAAAAATGTCATTTTTATAGTAAATTGTAAACAGAAGCAAAATTATTATGTAATACAATGTAAATTCAAGCACAATCCTTAACATTCCAATGTGAAAAAAAATTCTTATACATTCCAACTAAATAAAAAAAATATTACTAATCAAAAGTAGGAAATAGCGAGAAGATAGGACACAACATAAAGAGCCACCTCTTAAAAGATAAAAACCAAGGTGATTATAATTTGGTGCAAGACAGATAGGTCAAGGATTACTCGAGAAGACAGGATGGTAAAACATGCTGTGCTAGTATAGTGATGTTCTAATGTATGATTTTTGATTAAGAAAATACAAGACATGGGAGTTGACTCAGTTGGATACCTATTTCAAGCAATGCATCAAAGTCTATTACAAAAAAGGGGGTTAACCTCACAACTTAAACCTTCAAATTCAACCATATGAAGCTTGCAATTGAAACCAATCGAAAAAAGGGAACGATCCAATTTGTCGAAAACAAAAAAGATACTCACTGAAGGGTAGGCACGATCCCAGAAGGGTGCTTCTGTAGATCCACCGGTTGGCTCCCTTCCAATCCTTGGTCAGCCATCAAACCCTAATTTATTAACCCAATCACAGAGCTGGCCACAACCAAAAAAACTGTCTTAAAATTAGTTTGAGAAAAGGAGAAAGTCGGGGAGTTTGTGTGAAATCCGACCTAAAAGAGAGGAATTAGGGTTGGTATGTGCCCGTGGAACGAATCGGAGAGGGAAAAGGGTGACAAGAGTAGAGAGAGTGGGAAGGATTCGAAAGAAGAGTTCTTTTATAGGAGAAGAAGATAGAAAGACAGAATTCGGGATTTGTATGTTGTGATAGGTTTCGATTTGAAGAGAGAGAGAGAGTTTTTGTATGTCCAGAGAATGTGAGGAAGAGAGAGAGAAAGAGTGAAAGGTATTTGTAATGGGTGTGGAAAGATCTGGAGGTAATAGCGAGAGAAGAGAATCGAGAATGGCCACCTCTTATATATATATATATATATATATATATATATATATATATATATATATATATATATATATTACATAAATTAAAATTACATATATGAACTTTAAATTAATTTTATATATAAAATTTATATAAATAAAAATAAAAATTATCAACTTAAAAATAAATTATATTTTAATATATTATAATCGGTTATCGAAAATTATGATCGATTATTATCCAGTTATATTCGATCACTTTGACATGTATGACTTTAGATAGCGGTTATTTGGCCAACCGCTATCTAAACAACATTTATTATAGCGTTCCACGAATCAACCGCTCTTTAAAAGTATGATATAAGAGAGCGGTTATAAAAAAACCAATAATATAAACATACGTTAGACAGCGGTTAAAGGTTAACCGCTATCTCATATATTTAAAAGCGGTTCTTATTAACCGCTATCTAAGGTTACTCAAGCGAAAAACACATCGCTTGAGCGAGGACACCTGGAAAAATGGGTGATTCTCGGGTTCTTTCTCGCTCAAGCAACGTTATGAACGCTTGAGCGACAAGTGATTCTAATATGTGGTGAACCAAGTTATATTGTTTGTCTAACTGCGTTTGACGTTTCATCAATCGGTCAACACTCGTTTCATCATTCGGTCAAACAAGGGGGACTCTCGGGTTATGTCTCCAAAGTATAACTTATTTTTATTTCTATAATATAAAAAAATATATATATATATATATATATATATATATTTTAACTAATCAATTATTTTGAAATAATCGATTAGTTTTTTATGAGAACAAGTTATTTTTTTAAATAATTGATTAATTTTTAAATAATCAATTAGTTTTTTCTTGAAGATGAAACTGATCTTGACTTCTTAAAATTAATTCATGATAATTCTGATTGTGCATGTAATAAACCCTGTAATAATTGTTCCGAATTACAAAAGAAAATTGATTTTTTATCACAAACTGTTTCAAGGTTTACACAAGGTCAAGCTAATCTTGACGTTTTACTTGGGTCACAAAAACTAATTTTTGACAAATCGGCATAGGATTTAAATCTAGGATGAAATTCAGAAAAACAAATGTAAATAAGAAATCATACTCGTGATTAAATGTTTTTACTCGCATGAAAAGAGGTCATTCAGTGAAATATTGTAGAATTAAAAAGTATGTTATTCCTAGAGGTAGAATGAAGTGGATTCCCAAAAATAATTCATTTCAAATAACCTGATTGGACCCAAGTAATTATAAAGGGTACCGTAAACATGCTAAATCTGCTTTGCAGGAACAAAAATCTGGAAGTCCCTTGGTGTTCAAAACAACAAATCAGGTTCTGTTTTCATAAACCGATTGTTTTAATTGATATAAAACAAGTATTAATCGATTAAAATAACTTACGGAGAATACCGTAAAATTTGTCCGTACAATTTTAATCGATTGAAATACTTATTAATCGATTAAAATGTTCCTAGGAATTGAGTTTAGTTGTTTTAATCGATTAAAAAGAATTTATATCAACTAAAATCACTAAAATGTCAAATTTAATCGATTGAAATTTTGTTGTCATTTTATTAATTTCATCCAAGTACAAGACTAATCGATTCCTTTATGAATTAATCGATTATTTCACTGTAGCATTTTCAAACCTAGTATTAAAAATCAAATTAATAGGTTAATTAGTTGATTAATCGATTAATTTGTTTCGAAAATTATTTTTATAACATCCAATTGAAAATTGGTAAGCAAATCAAAGTCAAAATCCCAAGTTTTTGTGGTAATCAAAATCTGCATAATTCTTTTAAATATTCTTTGACCAAGTCAAACATCTTCCCAAGAACAGCTTTAGCTGATACACCCACTGTCCGGAAATTTGTGCATCTCGTCCTCGATCAAGGGGACATATGCAATTAAAGCCGATTTTGCAGTGTTCCGTCTAAAGTAAACCGCAATTCACGAAAATTGACATCCATGAATCTTCAGCTTGCTCACTTGTAGCTCATTGTTCTCATTCTTCTCTTCCTGGTTCAAAGTGCTTCTCTCTTCTTTCCTTGTACACACGTCTCAAAAACCCTTCTCTAAAAATACAACAAGATGCTGAGAAGATCAAAGTCAAGAAAGAAGCAAAAGGGGAATCTTCCTCTCGTCGCTAATCCCGGTGGCCATCTTGAAGCATGGTTTGATGGAGATATTGGAAAGATGAACACCTTCATTTCGAGTTTAGTCGAAACAGATTGTCATTCCAAAATTTATCAAATTCAGGTGGCTTGACGAAGAGGGATTTACTAGTCCGAGAAGAAAGCTAAAAAGTCAAAAGCCGAAAACCTTGATGGAGTTTATCGGGAACATTCAACCTGATTTGGTTCGGGTCTTTTACTCCAACTTAACAGTAAATGGTTCTACAATCAGATCTCAGGTAAAGGGAGTAAATATGAAAATTACTCCTTTTGTTTGGGAGCAAATTGCTGGTCTCAAGGATAGAGGTGTCAAAGTTTCAAGGGGGAATATTTTTGAGATTCCTGAGTTCAACAAAATTCATTTTTTCCGGTCTTGCCTTAAGGATCCAAATGATTCATTAAGAATTTTAAATGCTGGAAAACTTGCACTTGAACATAGACTACTTGCTTTTATTGTGGCATGGATGCTTACTCCAAGACGGAGTAATCATGCTATTCTTAATGAGGGAGATCTTGCCCTCATGTACTGCATTTTTAACAATATTCGGGTAAACTGGGTGTATGTGATTAAAGATCACATGTTGAAGGCTAAAAGGTTGGCAGATTTCAAACTGTCGTATGTCATGTTAATTAATAATTTCTTTAGATATTTTGAAGTTGATCTTTCTGGGGAGAGCATAGAAACCCCCAAGGCATCAAATGAAATTGACGACTCCACCCTGAGAAAAATGGGATATATAAAAGTTGATGATGAGTGGATCTCCAAAATTGATGCTCGGGATGTCCGAGGGTGAGGAAGAAGATGAAGATGAACAAGGCCAAATTCCTTCCTCTCCAGCTGCTGCAGAGGTTCCTCGAGTCAACCAGATGGTCAAGCTTCATATGAGAATATGGAAATCATTCCTTACATGGAGCAGCCTGACCGTGGGACTCCTTTATCTCAATTTGAAAGAACAATGCTTTCTCAAATGGCCGCAATGCAGGAAAATCAGAGAAAGCATATGCGAGATGACATTTCAACATTTCCAAGCAAACAAACAATCAATTCGCATCCCTTGGAAACCAGATTTCTGATATCTACACCAAGCTGGAAGATATGCAGCTGAACCAAGGAAACTGGGATGATTGAATTTGTGGATAAAAAGGGTCTCTTCTTATCTTTCTTTTATTTTTTATTTTTTTTTTATGCTAATTTCAATTTCTGGTCTGTAATATTTACTGGTTGTATACCTGGTACAATCTTTTTAGCTTTGATTAATATAATGTAGGTTTTAAATTGAATCAAACTACCCTAGATAGAATTCAACATAGATCCTTGATATTTTTAGCTGATACAAAATGGATTTAATCGATTAAATCGATTAAAGGAAACACTTTCACAACAAAATAATCGATTAAACTGCGTATCAATCGATTAAAATCTTTATAAACTAGTTTACATCAGTTAAATTAGCTAAATAAGATTTTATTCTGATTTTGATGGATCTATTGGTTAAAATTTAATCGATGTAGTTGATATTATTGTAAAACATCCTTCTAAATGATCAGTTTTACAAAATTTACACTCGGATTAGGCATGATAAATTCGCATCAAACATTGCTTAGTTTGCAAAACTGGTTGTTTTAATCAATAAAAAATCTTTTAAATCGATTAAAAGAATTCATACATCATTTTTCTTTATCTGTTTTAATCGATTAAATGTAGAATTAATCGATTAAATGCACTTATGTTTCATACTTTCGAAGTCCTTCACTGTTTTAATCGATTAAAACTTTATTTAAATCGATTAAAACCAATAACAAGAACTTTTTAATCGATTTTTTCCTGTTTTAATCGATTTTTATTCTGGAAAGAAAAATTAAAGGCTTTAGTTAATGGCTGTTCTTGTAACATACTACTAAAGCGTGGTTCCCTTATCTTTACACGTGTTAATTGTATTCATTACAAACGTGTTAATGAAGATAAGTTTGAATCAACTTTGATTGGTCTTTACATGAGTAAAGTATCGTATTTTCATATTTTTTTTTCTATTTTCAAAATCTAAAACTTGATACATACCTTTGCATTGTTTCTCTTCTGTTCCCTATTTTTGATGAAGTCAAAAGGGGGAGAATAGTTGCTTTACTTTTGATCAGAAATAATTCTTTATTTAGGGGAAGCAACAATTTAGGGGGAGAAATAGGAAAATAATTCATTTTTTATTACTCACTAATCTATATTATCAAGTGACTTCTTTTGCAGAGTTATTATTCAAAGTGATGTTTGTCTTCATCAAATAAGGGGAGACTGAAAGTGATGAAGATCTTATTGAAATACTTTGGCAAAGATCTTATTGATTTGATGAAGTCAAAGGCAACTTTGTAGCGGACAAAAGTCACTTAGATAAAAGAGTAGAGGGATTAGTGTGTCTGCAGCTATGCTTAGGTATA